GTCCGGTTGCGCGCCGCCCTCGGCGTTCCTCCGGTTCCACCTCTGGTTGCGCGCCGCCCTCGGCGTTCCTCCGGTTTTCCACCTCTGGTTGCGCGCCGCCCTCGGCGTTCCTCCGGTTCTCCACCTCTGGTGGCGCGCCGCCAACGGCGTTCCTCCGGCGGGAAATCATCACCCTACCTCGAACTGGCATTGAGCCGCCAGTCCTCACAAACATCCTCCACGTCGTCGACACCATTCATCTGGTCTGAACCCCGCAAAAGAAAGGGGGACCTTCTCCGTCGTAACCAACCTCAGTTCCCAGTCGTCCAGGGGCAATTTCACAGAGTCCCCTCGAACAGACAGAATCTCGCGCTGAGATGGGCACACAGCGAAATTCACCGATCTTACGTGCTAATTAGTACGAACTTTAGTTATTTCGTTTGGTGCAATGAAGTGGTTACGTGATTACTTTTGATTTGCCACTTACGCGTTCCATTTGCAGATTAACGTTAACCGCAGTCACAGTACTCACTCTCGGGTCTCCCTACTACAATAAAATGAATCAGAAGTTGCCGAGAGTGCAATGATGACGGCAATGAATCGATTATTATAATCGAGAAATCCATCTGAGCACTCTACAACAAAAAGACAGCATCTGAAGTCTCAACTTCGCTTCATCCCCCGCGATATTGAAACCAATACCCTTCTCTGAGTGCCTATGTAAGGGAGTAATATTAATAATAAGTTAGCATTAATCACCCTCACCACTAACAGCATGTATTGCTTCCCCCGCTTTTTAACCCCGCTAATTCACGATGCTTCCCGCAGGCACGCCCAGACATGGGCAGATCGCGCCGGGCTGGACGCAAAGTCCAGCTCCGCCGACTAGCGAGAGCGTACGCTACCCCTGGGGTCTTTGACCCCAGGATTTTTGAGAGACCTGCAGTGCCTCCAAGACCCTCGCTCCCGCTTCCTCCCCCTCCTCCAGCGAACCCTCCTCTAGCCCTTGGCTACCCACACCCTCCACCACCGTACAGGCCTCCGGACCCTTGCCCGGCCAGAACGTGGGCCCCGTGCCCACCAGTAACCCCAGCACCCAGGCCTCCGACGGCGGCAATTGCAGCAGCACATCCACCCCAGCCTCCCAGCCAGGTAGGGAGGACCGCGCCTGGACCGAGGGCCCCTAACCCCTCTCCCGCACCAAAGAGGACAGCACCCCGCATAGTCTGCATAGAGGCCCTCCCGCAGAAATACCGGCTCAGCAAGGGGCCGAGGAAACCGCCCCAACCCAGGAAGGACATGCCCTCACTGGACTGAGTTCTCCCTCCGTTTTTTTTTCCTATCTCTCTCTCTCTTTTGTACACTACCTTCCGTCGTCAAATATATGTAAGTTCCTCCCACAGATTTCTTTTCATTTACACGCCCACACTGCCCCTCGGTATACTTGTCTCCCAGAGAGACACCCGTCCCCACGAAATTGCGGACGTAACACATGGTAAACATCTTAGAAATATTAACTGTTATAAAGTTACAACAAATTGTTTATAGGATGTATAATTCAATGTAAATAAGGGTATAAAAAAAACCCGAAG